TTGCCTTCTCCCTGTTGAGAGCCTGTTGACAGCGTGGGTCCAGTCTGCCTTGGGCAGGAGTCGCACAGTGGCCTTTCACTCTGCAAGAGCGGCCAGGCCGTCCAACCGGATCTGCATCACAAAGCAGTGAGATAGTCTGTCTCAAAGCAGAGACCCCTCTAAACTGGACAGAGCTGTGTGCCCTGGTGCATGGCTGGCAGGGACACTGTGAATGGCTAAATCATGCCATACCGCTTGTACAGAACACCAGGCAGTTCTGCGGGCACCACAGGCTATTTGTAATGAATGAAGACGTAAACCTGGATTTATCAGAAAATAAATCAGGCAGGCTTCTCATTATTGGTAAGGAACACTTCAAGACCCTGTGTGCTTCAGGCTTACCCCCCGGTGGCCATTTAACCATTATAAGAATCTCGTTTGCCAGTGTAGATACATAAAGCCCTGGTCCTGGAGGAGCACAGTCTGCTGGTTTTCACTGCAGATGAGCTCTGCGTCTCCAGTGCTGATTGATGACTTCAGTGATTTGCTCATTTGTTTAAACTTTTACTGAACTTGTTTCTTCTCTGGGTGCGGAGTGTCAGAAATCCCCAGATTCAAGGGTACGGTTTCCAGCACACTGACCTTGCAGCTTTCCTTCTGCAGAGGCCTGAGTGGTAACAGTTCAGGAACCACAACTGAATGAGGGGCCAGGCAGGTCTTAAACTCCGAAACTCATACAGGGTGAATAAGTGGATAATCATCATAGATCCCATTTGACCTTTTAAGAGCTCAAAGCAAATTTGCCAATATGTCTCAAACAGAAACCTGAAATCGGTGAGGCTGATCAAGAGCTCAGCTGGAAGACACAGCAGATGGGAGAGATGTGAGATCAATAAAAGTGCAGGCAGACAGGCAGAGATAAGTTTATGGATAAATGTTAAAACTAGCAAGACAGAAATAGGGGATTGGAGCTGCCTGCTTTATCCTGGACAAAGTATGAACATTATCTTCCTGTACGTGAGTCTGCCTGATGTTTGTGTTTTCCTTGTATTGGAGTTGTGTCACAAGATTTGCTCCCGGCTGGGGCATTTCGAGCAGAAACAGACTCTGTCTATATACGTGACCTGTTTTACATTTTTCTCTTTGGAGCTCCAAAAATACAAGGATTTATTATCCGTTTTCTTGTTTTATAATGTCTGGAAACCAAAACAAATCCGTCCTGCAGGTTAACACTTTGCTGGGCAAGTTGGCCCAGTGGTGAATATTGGTGCCTCACAAAAATGGGTCCTCTGTTCAGATCTGAACTTGAGGTGCTGTCTGTGTGGAGTTTGTATGTTCTTCCTGTATTCCCTTGGGTTTCCTCCATGTGCTTCAGTTTCCTCCCACAATCCAAAAACATGCTGGTTTGTTAATTGGCTTCCTAGAAAATCATCTCTAATGTGAGTGTGTGTGTTTGTGTCTGCCCTGCAATGGACAGACGTCCCCTGTGACCCCAAATTGGAAGAATTGGTTGCACAGCGGGTGGATGAAGGTTGATTTTGACGGCTTTATGGACGAAACTCTCTCACTGCTGCACATCAGCCGGCATTAATGTTGCTCCAGGGATCGGGTTCACGATCTGGGTGCTGTGTCTTTCTCTGCCTGCAGACCCTGCAGAGATCAGAGTGTGACCCAGGGATCGGGCTTGCGGTCTGGGTGCTGTGTCTTTCTCTGCCTGCAGACCCTGTGGAGATCAGGGTGTGACGCAGGGATCGGGCTCACAGTCTGGGTGCTGTGTCTTTCTCTGCCTGCAGACCCGACGCTCAGTGAGGAGATGAGTTAGTGTGGGCGGAGCCCCGAGCGGAGAAGAGCCCAGCTGCGGCAGAGAGGAGGCGCTGTTCTCCTCTGGTTCGGCTGGTCCAGCGAAGATGCGCGGCCGTGCTGTCGTCCTGCTGCTGCTCTGCTCCTGTGTTTCTGGGCACCTTTTCAGACCCAGCATGGACCTGGACGTCACCCCACGCATCACAGTGCCCTACAGCGGTAAGACCAGCTGCTCCTACGCGGAGTACAGTGTGAGACAGCTGTTCACCTGATAACAGGAGCTCAACTGCAGAGAAAACAGCCAGTGCCATTTTCTTTTGGGGTTTCCAAATATGTGAAGAACTTACAATTGCCGGCTACGGTGCCTAATGTACTCCATATATTCTGACAATAATCAACATGTAGGAGATACTAATTGTTATATTTTCAAATATAAAAGCAATTAATTTTTTCCCCATTTTAAACTTTTTTTCTTCAAATGAAGTGTTTTTGTAGAACATCACGGAAAACAAGCCTTTTGTCTTTTGGAGAATCTGAATTGTAAGGGCACAGGATTGTGGGAGCTGGAGGGGAAAGTCACAGGGCATAGGGTCATTGCGAGTTTAAAGAAAGGGCTGTTTTTCTGCGGAGATGAACAGAACCGCCTTCTTTCAGGTCAGGTCTGCTAGGTTCTCTGCACTGGCACAGTGGTGAGGTGTTACCCCTGGGTAGCCTGGGGCAGCACTGGGGCAGCTAGGGTAAAGGGAGAGGTTTCGTGCAGCAGGGAATACTGGGTGATCTGGGATCTGGCACATCTCTGAGACCTCATGTTGCTGGTGTGAAAGCAATCGAGGCGTTATCTCTTATAAGTTTTGCTATCATCCCCATTCAGGTCGCCTCAGGGACGGAGGCTGACACATTCTATATTAGGGCTCTTGAGGGCTTCAACAGGGAGAGAATAGAAATGGCATGCTCAGGTTTAGCTGTAGTTCTCAGAAGAGATAACAGTGGTTAAAAAGAGAAGTACTGCTCACACTTACTTACTGCAAGTGCCTCCCCCCCACACACATTATTTTAGCACTGCTTTATCATTCTGTGCTGCGCCAAATGTGAGAGACACCTCATTTTGAAGAGCGCAGCAGCACCTGCACTTTTTATGAGTTTCACCTAGCAACTCGGATTTCAAACCCACCAGCCTCCCCCTGTCCGATCTCTCCGCAGAGCTGCAGCGCCGCTCTCAGAGAGGAGGAATGCTTCTCCAGGCTCGGCAGAGAGCAGGGCTGTTCAGATCAGAGGAGGGTTATTTTCATGCTGTTGTCTGGCCCTGCTGATCTAGAGATACAAGCCTGTAAATGCTGGGGTAGAGAGCTCTGAGCTGTAGGAAAACGGTGATTAGACAAAGGTTGGCACGACTTTTGGCTGCCCTTTAACACCTTAACATCTGACAACATTTTATTTTTCGCTTGTAGCCCCTTGAGGCCACAGACCTTTGAACTTATTTCAAACCAAGTAAAATTCACCATAATATCCATTGTCTAGAGTCACTTCTTCCTAAGTCCATCACAGGACACACACACAGGGACCATGTAGAGGCTCTTATTACCTGAGCCTGTCTTTGGAAGATAGGAGGAACCTGGAGAATATGCAGGATCCACATAGAAAGATTTGTGAGCACTACCTGGCATTACAGTTTTACTGAACAAAAGTTGTTTTTATGGTGATCTAACAAAAACACGCAGAACACATTTGCCTCAAAATATTATGCAAACATTTAGTCATACATTTGCCACAGGGTGATATTCATAAGACTCACAATAAAAAAATTGCAGTTTTCTGTTGGGAGCACCGGAGCAGTGCTGTCAAAGAGCAAAGCAGATAGAGGTCTGTGAAGTGTAACGTCCCAGAAAGAAAGAAGAGGCCGGTTTGTTACTCTGTGCTTGAAGGTTAGGAATCCAATTTTTCTAGTTTCCAGACTGCTTCACATGAGGTAGCAGCTGTCTTTAAACCTGCCTACCTTCACCTTCGTCTCTTGGTGGAAAGAGGAATATGTCTGAGATCCCATGAACATGAAGATCTGAGGGTCTGCACTCCAGACACATTCTGTAATTCCAGAGCTGCTTCATCAGAGAATAAATTGAGAGCAGGAACAGCTGCTTCCAACCTGGTACAAACCTAGATTTTTTACTTTGCTGCTGCAGAAGGAACAAATGGGCAATGAAGACAATTATCCTATTGTCTCTTTCACGTTAGAATCTTTGCAAAGCACTTTTCACGGTTAGGGTTTGGGCGTGAATCTGGAAGGCTGTGGGCTCAAATCTCACGAGGACCACAGGTGACATGCGCTGAGCCCATAGACTGCTTCAGCAACATGCCCAGCTGTGTAAAAGGATGTCAGCCTGATAAATCAAACAAAAATAATGAAAGAGGAAGGGCCCGATGAAATGTTAAAGCCTTACTTGAGTCAGGCTAGATTACATTGTCAGAACTCCCTCGTTAACAATGCCCAAAAGCCGCACAACATATGGCTGACAGATAAAAAGGATGCGTTTAAAAATTGAGCAAGGCTCTAATTATATGGGATAGGGCATTCCACCACTTGGGTGTAATGCTCGTACTCGGGTTAGTGCTGTGTCGAGCTCCCATAACACCCCAGCCAGTGGTCAATAACCGAATCAGTCGTCCGGTCTCCCCGATCCCATGGCAGCACAGTCAGGCCATTGTGAAAATACCTCCGGCCTGTAATTAAAAGGCACTAACTTTGTTCCCAGCAGGGTGTTTATTCCCACACCTACTTTACAGTGCTCAGTCTTGGCACTAGCCGCTGTCCCCCTTGTTGTTTTCTCCTGTGTGTTGCCACTCATCCCAGCTCCACTCCTCGCTTGTGCCTCAGACCGTGCTTCCTGGATCTCCCGTGGCTCGTATCTCTCTCCCGTGTTGGAGCGGGATCCACCGGCGTCGTGGTCCCTCTCTTTAGCGTTTGGGTCTCTCGTCTGCTCGGCCGTTCTTTTGGGATTTTCCCTCTGTGCTTCTGCCCGTGCGCATCTCCGCTCACTTTGGCGTGCCTGCAGCTCTGTGACCACTGTATGCGTCACTGCTGCCTGTCGCTGGCTCTCCTTAGTTCTGCCCCAGCCTCCTCCTGCAGAAGGATCCTTCTTCCAGCTCAGACAGCTGCCCCCTTCAGTCTGGTTCATTAGTCCGTTACATTAGGCAGGTGCTGCAGCTGCAGAGAGCAGGCGAGCAGATTTCTGTGCTTGACCACCAGAATGTAAAACCAGTGGCAGGGGGGCTGGGAAAAGTTGAATATTGACTATACAGCTTTCCTGGGTTAGCCAGCGCTGTAGTATTAGATAGGACAACGTTTTAGTTTTATAGAGGTTTTAAATGTATGCAAACAAACTCCTTGCAGTAGTAGCCCTCCTCTTGTCCTTTATGTGCAACAAATATAACCTTTACAACATTCTTTTAGTTTAAATGACTGGTGAGATTATCTGTCACAATTGCAACACAGATGGTTCCATTGTTGTTGCAATGACTGGTAGGAGGCACAGGTGCTTGAATATGTTAAGAGTAGTGTAGTGCTGTAAAGACACAACTGAAAGATGGCATTTTATTGGGAACTTCATTGGCATTTGAACAAACAATGTGTTAGTTTACACTGGGCAAAGCTGCATTTTCTCTGACCTCATGCATGCTCTGCGTGTTGTCAAAATTAAGCTTGGATGCCTGTCATAACAATGTGATCGTTACCAGAGTTCCTCCCTTCACACGTCTGAATAACATCTGGGCATTGACGTAGCCAAACACAGACACACATGCCGACAGACACACTCACGGGCAATACACACACATGGTGTTTTCACAAGTCCGCTGGGCAGGTGTCACCTGCTGGAATATGGTCATGTTAAATATAACAGTGGGTCACTCCGGGGGTGCAGTTCTTTCCCTAAAGAATAGCAGTGCTGATTAGTCACACTGCTCATGGTCAGATTTATACACATTGTTTTTGTGTTTACTACTTACAGAAAAAAGAGCAGCGGGTGTTCTTTTACAAGGCTCTGGTCAGGGGCTGTCGGGCCTCAGTAGGCAGTGGGCGATGTTAACCGCTGACGTGGTCCTGCTTACAGAGCGGCTCGTGTCACTGATCTGTGCTGTTTGTTTAGGCCCCCGTCCAGCAGCTTCAAAGAAGGCTCCCAAGTCAATTTTTCACCTTGTGGGCTGTAGCTCTTCACAGCTCTGGGTTGCTCGTTGTCCTTTTTCCTTCAGCGCAGAAGGTGTTAGGGAGGACTGGAGGTGGTACAAGGCCCTGACGGCCTTCGTTGCGGTCAGCGTGGGGGGGTGGAGGTTGGGAATGTGATTATTGTGCTGGCCCTAAAAATGTAGGACAGGTTGCAGGGAAAACCACTATCGCCAGCAGCTCCCTGCGTTCTCCTTCCAGCAACACTGCCAGCCTGAGTGTGTCTCCAGCCCCCTCCTCCTTCTCCTCCTCCAGGGTGGTGGGAATTGTTTTCCTCTTTCTGATTTCTCTCACTCCTCGTCGACATTCCCCCGTCTCCTCTCTTCTGCCACACGCTGTGTTCCTGCCCCCGTCCCATTCTTTATTCTTTATTAAAATTCCTCCCTCCTTTTTCCACCTCCCTGCTTGACCTGCGCGTGTCTATCCTGCTCGCTATCCTTTTGGTGCAAATTCGAATCGAGGGTGTTTGAATCGGAGCCGGGCGTCTGTGGCCAGAATGGTGATGCGTCGTCACACCCTGCTGAGCCCTGTGAGGGAAGGCTGAAGAGTCACTCGCAGGGAGAGGGACTAGAGGAAGTGGGTATTAAAAGGTCAAGACTGCCTCTGAGCTCCTGTACTGTGTATGTGTTGAGTACTTTCCATGAGAAATATGAGCCCTTAAGAGGCTGGTGGCAGTGTGGAATAGGGAATTAACTACAGGGTTGTGGGTGCAAATGTCCCATGGGGACACTGTACAAGGTACTTTACCCAGAGTGCTCCAGCAAAACCCAGCAGCACTGATCGGGTATCAGATCTTAAGAGCAAAAATACAGGTGGTTGGAACCTCTGTAGGTCACGTTGGATAAAAGATTCAGCCATCTTAAACATAACAGGTATTATAAGCAGAATTACAACAAAGCAAAGCATAATGTAAATGTGACTGCTCTTTTCCACCCACAGACCTCATTCTTTTATACTTCACACAAGTTGCATAATTTATCTTTCCTAATTTTTGAAATCTTACGCT